TAGTTATTTCACATCGGTTTATTGCATAATAGTTGGGTAATTGCAGTTATTTAGCGTCAATATACTAAATGCCTTTGTTGATATGTAAACTCTGACTTTAACATAGCTACTTCCGTGACCAGTTACATGCTAATCCCTCACACTAACATCATGCTAATCTCCCAGTTACATACTAATTTCTGACTTTAACATCTTGCTAATCTATCACATTAACACAGCTACTTCAATGCTAAATTCTTCTGTTGATATGTAAACTCCTTTGTCAAGGCGCTCTGCTCCTCCCACCCAGCTTAAAATACGCTGCCGAGCTTATCAGTGTTCATTGGAGCGCTGTCTTTCCGACAGTTCTGTTTCTTCACCTGAAGAAGGCTACTTGTGTTGTGGCCGAAACGTCGTGAGAATTGTATTTTGTTATGTTTTAATTTTATTATTTCCCTTCTACGTGACTTTACCGAAAGAACCAAGAAGACAAACAAACATATTTTAATATTTCCAAGATGATTATTAAAATAATAGGGTTCTTTGTACGTGAGTTTAGCGAAAGAAACAAGAAATATAAATATTAGTTGTCTTTACACAAACATTATTAATGTCATATTTGCAAGGTGATATTTAAATAATAGGTTTCTATCAATGTGAGTTTAGCAAAAGAAGCAAGAAAATAGTACTTAACATTGCCGTGGTGAGGCCTAATCCCGTGCAGAGCCCCCGGCCTCGCCGAGATTGCCCAGCCATGATCCCCCTGCCCGCTCTGCAGTAATATCTACGGCCTATAGTAGTAGCATCTACTGACTGTATAGTAGTAACTGCACGCATCGGGGTGGGACATAACACTGTGAAGAATTTACCTCAGCGTTTTGAGTATTTTTATTGCATTTTTAACACGGAAGAAAATGTCCCCCTCACCCCCACCGAACGCGTGTGACTTGGTATGGTCGAGCGCGCGTAAGTAAATAAATAAATGAAAATCGCACTAAATCGTTAATTTAACTACTTTAAACAGTTTAACACGTAGGCTTTCACCATTCTGGCGAATTGCCCGATGACGCTGGATGTATTTACCAGCGAAACGTCGTACTCAAACTGTAAATGTGGATTAACTCTTCAACACACCGGTGGGCTGAAGTAGTGAATTATTTGTCTTTTGTCAACGTGACACTTTTTTTGCTGATTGGCCGTGTCGGGTGGTGGAGGGTTACGACACATTTATAAATAAACGCGATCTAACCCAAAAACCTTTATTATTAACTACTTTAAAGTTGACGGACGGGAAAAAGGATGAGCGCTTGCTCATCAGAGGGCTTACAGCGTGATACCTGGCTATTATTTTTAAACATAAACCCCACCGTTTGAGAGCCAAATTCTTCGCAAGTGTGCGAACACACACACAGACAGACAAAAAATGGCATTTATAGGTAAGATTTGTTATTCATATGAAACTTTACTGTTTTGATGATTTCATATAATTGTATGGACCGTATTACTAAAAATGTAAAGGGTGGCACAAAAGTTAGGAAACATAGGGTGGTATTTAATTTGACAAAACACAGTTTTATTAAATGTGTAGTGTGTTATTTTATGGAGATTGAGACGATATTGTAGAGGCAACACGGTGTGTCTAATATACTGTTATAATAGCTCTCTTACGCCCCCTAGCTAGGAAGATACAGCCTTCGGGCTATTGTGACTTAACACTGCCCCCTGCTGGCTTCCCGCCCTCCGGCTATCCATGACCTAGGGGAGGCTATCCTGACCGACCCTGGTACGGTATTGGTCCGACCACTGGTCCAAGCTCGACCCGGCCCTTAGAAGGGCAGCGGGCTCGAGGGTCCAGGGTCCTGGTCTAGCGGCCTTCAGTCTTCGGTCTTCAGTCTTCAGCTGCAACTGCCTCTAAGCTCTCCAGAGGCCCTCCTTATATACAGTTTATATCCGAGGGGCGGGGCTCTGTGGGATCGTAGAACACCCCACAGCCCCCACCCGTCGGGAGGGGTCTGCGGGGGATCGTAGAATACCCCGCAGCCCCCTCCCCCCCAGGCTAGTAATCCTAACGTTTTTTCCCGCCATTTTAGTTGTACCGCCCCTGATGGGCTCTGTCCGCCATTGCGGATATTTGCAGTCCATTTACGGCGCTACAAATGTATTTGAACAAATGTTCAAACTGACTTCCATTAACATGAACACATTGAAGAATTTTACTTTGAAATGAATGTAGGACTTTTTTTAATTACAGGTGTAATCTTTGAACATTGATAAATTATGTTTTGTCTCAATTCATTAAGGATTCTTGGTCGAATTTTGTAAACAACATATTTGAGGTGACCCCACAGGAATAAGAAAAATAGTTATTAATACTGATGATAGATAAAATGTGAACTTAAAGAATAAATAAAAAAAAATATGCCAGTGTTCAAATAAATGAAATAGGCCTATGTGTTCTGACTTTTGGGCCCCCTGTATAGCCCTTTGCCAAATCTCTGCTGGATGATCTCCCATAGCAATATTGGTCATGGGGATTCTTTCAATATACTTCACACTGGTCAGTGCAGGCTGGTCAATGGGCAGGGGGACAGGACCAGTTGAGGTATCACTCGCCACTGATAATAGCCGTGGCGAGATGTTAACTATCTCGCCTGGTATACAGGAGGTCGTGGGTTCCATCCAGAACCTGACGCCTGTATATTTGGAGTTTGCATGTACTCCCCGTGGTCGCGTGTTTTTCTCCGAGGCCTTCAGGTTTTCCCTCCACATTTAGAAACATGTCATTAGAGTATTTGGCTGCCATCAACTTCTACATGATAAGCCACTTCGTTGAGCTATCATTTGTGGCCAGGTCGCTTCTCAAAAAAGCTGGTAAACCAAAAATAGTTTATAGTTAAAAAATATATATTCTTAGCTCTTTCGGTAAAGTCACATTGAAGGGAAACAATACAATAATAAAATATATATAAAAAACAATATATATTTTATTGTTTCCCTTCAACGTGGCTTTACCGAAAGAGCTAAGAATATGAATGACTGCAGTCACGAAAGCTTTAGATCAACATTTAAAAAAAAATGTTTAAACAAGTCGCATGATTCAGAGAACAGTGCACTATTTACTGCCTCAGTACCCATTAAAAGAATATAACCACATTTCATAAATCGAGCCAAAATTATTAATCCATGAGTGGATTGACAAATGTATGAATAATAATAATTCGTTTTTGATGGAGCACCTTGACCGCTGGATGCCTGAGAGCTATTTGTGCATTATAAGCTTGTAAGTGCAAATTATACAAAATACCTAAGCGTTGAGAGATAAAATCCCACATGTTTGCTCTAAAAAATACTTTGTAAGTTTACTGGTAAATGTATCATTTCAAGACTTAAATTATATACGAACATTTTGCCGAAAGTTTGTTCTCTGCTCGACATGTATATTGTACGTAACAGTGTCGTACGAGTAAAACCCTGACTAACCGGATTTCACACCTCGCTTATCAGGTTCTGCTAAGAAAAAAACCCATCTAAAATGAAAAAAATTGTTAAACAATACAATATTTTACATACTCTATACATACTCTACAATTCAAAATGTGTTATGCAATCATAAAATCCATTCGAACATTCAAAGATAGTTCATTTAAAATGTACTTCATACGTTAGTGGAGGAGGGGGGATGGGTTACAGTTGAGGGCGATGGGGGAAGGGTGGGGAAGAGTTTGGGGAAAAGTTTGGGAAGCCAGTGTACCCTTGACATTATTACATATCACACAGAACCGTGAGTTGACTTTGCTTTTGGCCTCTACGCGAACGGTGTTAGGTGAAAATGGCACAAGTTAAAAATATATAAAACAATGACACAATGAAACGGGACCGTATTAACAGTACAGGTGACCCCCGACTTACGACGGCTTTTACGTCCTTTCTTATCGTAATTAAGACCCCCACAGTAACGACCACAGCTCATAGCTACGACCACCTAAACTAAAGACTGCCACTGATGCCGAGTCGATTGATGGCGTTGCTTTGCTCTTCTACCGCACGCGTATGTAGAGTTATAGCCCGATAGTCAGCAGCTGCGCTGAAAGCGAACGTAGCCAGCGTCTCTTTCGCAACGCTCTTCACTTCTTTGTAAATGTCCTTCTACTTTTGAAACTTTTCGTCATTCGCTTTGTCCGAGACGAGGAAATGTGATGCACGTGCAGAAGGGTACTTAAGGATTTTCAAATGTGTGTGTGTTTTTTTACTGAAATGTTGGTAACGGTTATGTTAACTTACAATAGATGTTTGTTTGGGTTATTTTCATTCATTTTCGTGGTCCATTTTGGTATTTTACGGTACGTAATGGGTTTATCGGAACGGAACCCCAATGTATAACATATAATAAGGGTTCGACTTAATACAGCCCCACTTACGACCGTCGTCCAGCGTCAATGAGGTTGTAGGTGCGGCGGTCGCCTGTCCTGTGCTAGCAGTTAGAAGTACTGCAGTTATATACAGATCTGAATAAAAGAGATGATTATCCCTAACTCTCGATGATTATCCCTAACTCTCGATGATTATTCGTTGCTCCTGCTTTTCCTAGTTCTCACCCCTGCCGTTTTCACCGTACACTTAGACGCATGTGCACTACACACACCAATGTATTTTATTACACATACTGTATTGTACGTGTGCGACTGTCTTTAATTAACGTGTCTATTGTTTTTACTCGGATTGTAATTGAAATTGTGGCTAGCCTATTTTTTTCAGCTTGCCGCATCAATGCACCTGCCCCCGATGAGTCCCGCAAGTTGGGATTTTATTTTTAAAAAATTATAGCATTGTGGCGTTTTTTAAAGAATACATATTTTACAATGCTGTATCACAAATCTAGTTTTACATGTTGTAACAAATCCATGTTGATTAATCGTTAATAAATCAATGTACTACTACGTGTGAAATGTTAGTATTTATAAGTAGCATAATTCTAACGTTCTTTTAATACAAAAAGTATTAATTAAAACTTACCGTTTCAGATTTCAACATCAAACAAGCCAGGTTTGAATTCACAAAATTGGCCTAAATGGCGAAGCGACCAAAATTAGTCTCAAGACTATGGGTGCCTTTTTGCTTGTTCTTTTTATTATTAAGCGTGATACTCACGGCAGTACTCATATGGATGAGCCAAAGTTCACAGCCTCCAAAAACATGCCCCACTAACTCCACTCATAATAAATGGATGCCCAACCACAAAGCCAGAGAGATTTTCTCTGACTTGTCTCCTGCAGAGTTAACAGCTGTACAGAAATTTCTGCTAAATCAAAAGCCGCTCAATATTGTCCCAGTCACAAAAGCAACCTTGAAAAGCAATTACATCTACATGATTGAGCTCCACAACCCAACAAAAAGAGAAGCCCTGAATTACTTGGACCATGGGGGACCAAAGCCTGAACGAGTTGCCAAGGCAGTGGTTTTTCGTGGTGCTGACAGTTCAGTTTCTGTTGCAGAATACTTGGTTGGTCCAATTCCGAACCCAAGATGGTACAATCTATACCATCCCTCAACAAGGAAACGTACAATTAATTACTGCTCACGACCATCATCAATGCCAGAATACAAATCCTTGTATATACAACTGATCCCCGGTATCATGGGCAAAATAGAACACATTTTGAAAGAGAGTTATGGCTATTGGTTTCATAATTGTGGAGATAAGTGTCTGGTTGCAGGTGACCTTCCCATAAGAGGTTTTGAATCTAATCAAAGGCATTCCTGGCTTCAGCTCTTCAGAAATGTGGAGGGTTTCTATCTACAGCCAGTTAGTCTTGAAATCCTGATCGATCACAACAGCACAAATCCGGATGATTGGAGCGTGATGAAAGTAAATTACGATGGCCAGTATTTTGACAGTGTTGAAGAATTTGTTCGGAAATACGATGAAGGAACTGTCAACAAGGTGAAGCAATTGGACAGCAATGCGAAGTCTGCTGCGTATGATCGTCGCGGAGCCTTCAGAGTAGACACGTCTCAGGCGGGACCACGGCAGTACGAGCCCGAGGGCCACCGCTACCAGGTTGACGGGAACTTTGTGCAGTACATGCCCTGGACGTTCGCTTTCAGAATCTCCTTCACGGGTCTCCAGCTCTTTGACATCAAGTACAACGATGAGCGACTCGTGTATGAGATGAGCCTCCAAGACGCAGTCTCCTTTTATGCTGGAAACACACCCGTCGGGATGCAGTTGAAAGCCATCGACTCGGGCTGGACCTTTGGTGCTGACAATTTTGAGTTGGTGAGGGGCATAGACTGCCCGGAGAGTGCGACGTTTTTGGACACGTACCACTTTGTGGACGCGGACAAGCCGACGAAATACCCAAACTCCATCTGCATTTTTGAGCACAACACCGGAGTGCCCTTGCGTCGCCACACTGACAACGACTTTCAAAACGGTTACACGTTCTACGGTGGCCTGGTCAGCTATGTGCTCGTGATTAGGACTATCAATGTTGTGTACAATTACGATTACATAATAGACTACATATTTTACCAGAATGGAGTCATTGAAACAAGAACCCAAGCCACCGGGTACCTCCAGACGAGTTATCTATTTGGAGACGGCACCAAGTACGGCACCAGAATATCCGATCACGTCCTGGGAAATGTGCACACGCACATGTTCAACTACAAGGTGGATGTCGACTTGGGAGGTGGGTTTTTATGACAAATATTTTCATGTAAACTTTCATATTCTGCAATGTAACGTGTTGGTTTATGCTTTCAAGGGGCGAGTGGTGGCTCAGTGGTTGGCGAACTGCAATAATTTGACCCTGGGCCTCCCGTTTGCTAACCTGCACTGATTTCTGATCTATCTGGGTTTTCCATTGTGTTTGAATATTCCTTCAGTCACATTTACACTCAGTGACTTGGTGCTCTTTCAGTGACGTGCAGTGAGGTTCTATTGAAATCTCACACTGAGCAGAGTCACTGCTGAGGCACTTCAGGAAGTTACTTTAAAAGTTTTGATTATGTCGGAAATCCAAAAACACACAGCCCAGGTACGTATCTACAAGAACTATTTTTAGGTGGAATCTGTCTTCCCTAAAAAGAAGACATGTAATGTTAAATTATAGGTCATTTTTCCAAATAGCTTCACAGAAATAGTTTCGTAGAAATAGTGTGATTCACTAAACGTAGCATCACTGCCTAAAAACTAGGAATACATTCACCAAGGCATGGATTGTGTTCACTGTGCATGCACTTAAATGGCTGCCGCTTTGTATGGAATTTAGAAAAATAAAGTGTTGTATTCCACAATATCGTTTTTAAACCTCTTGATAGCTAAATAGTTATTCAACTGGTAAGTGGAAACCCAGTGCAGTATTGGTTGTTCCCTCAATGGGAGTTAGTAATAGAGCAATGTATTCTTAAATCCATCTATGCAGATCTTTGCGTGTTATCATCTTCCATTGGTGCCTTTTCTCTGGGTAATCCAAATTCGTTGCAAATACCAATTATGCATTACATGATTACCGAAACATCCTCTCGAGACTTGGTGAGACTTCCTGTGTAAGTATTATGGAGGTGTTGCTTAAAAGGTTTCATGAAGAAGCTATTGAATACTTTTATAAGGGATGTCAGGGGAAGGATTCCCACCAAAAAAAGGGGGAGTGGGATGGTGACAGTGGAAGGGGGAGGAGCAGGCGAGGAGATATAAGAGAGCGATCGGGCGGGAAAAAGGTAGAATTGGCGGAAACCGGATTGAGAAGGCTGGGGACGAGTATGGACTGGGGGAAGCAATAAAAGACAAACCCCCTGCAACCTTGTGTCGGCTCTCCTTTGTTTCTGGTGGCAGCGGTGGGATCGACAATGGCTACAAGGAAGAACCTCCATGGAAAAGAGCCAACAGAAGAGGAAGCAGGGGCTGGGGATCCTCCATGTCCAGGGCAACAAGGGGGCCTGTTACCAGGAGCAGCAGCAGAGGGCCTGGACCCCATGGATTACCCCATGGAGGACCGCATGGCCCTCGTGGAGAGGGCACTCCAGGAGCTACTGCGTCGGCTCCCTATGGGGGGCCCGCCGGCGTCGGGACCCCCTCTCCCACTCGTACTACGGGAGGAGGCGCCACGGGACCCGGAGGCCGACCAGCCAACCAGGCATGAGCTGCAACCAGCCTCGTCACGCCAGCCACTCCCGCCAAAGCCACCAGGGCTAAACACCCAATGGGGGGAGCAGGGGGGAGCAGGTGGCAGGACGGGCGCGCCGGCTGGGGCCCGTCGAGCAATTCGTGGCCAAGGGAGGTAATTGGGAGGCGTTCATTCGCCAATTCAAGGCTGCCTTCCACGCTCTCGAGTGGTCGGACGAAGAGGTGCTTCGAGCGTTGCCATCCGTTCGAGATGACGATGCGCTCGCGTCTTACACCTCCCTTCCCACACACAGCAAAACTCACTACACGCGGCCTACGAGGCTTTGGGGGAGATCTACTGCCCAGCTGAGGGCGAGTTTAGATGGTTCTAGGACCGCCAGCGAGGGCTAGAGAGTCCCCTTTAGCCTACAGGGGTGCGCTGCTCGTGTTGGCGAGGAGGGCTTTCCCTAACCTGGCTGACGAGGTGCTCAAGAACCTCGTGGTTGAGCACCTCATCGCCTACGCTTGCTGCGCCGGCATCACAATGCCAGTGGCGACGCCGGAGGAACGTACCTCGCTGTGGGCCGCCCGGATCCTACAAGCCCATGAACATGTCATGGGCCGGGCACTACCCGTGAGCCAGGTGGCTGGCGCGGCGGGGGGAGCACCTGGGCCATTACCGCGGCGCTACTGGGACCAGCGATGCCAATCGCCGAACTTGCACCATCGCTGCAGGCTGCCTACGTGGCAGTTGGGAACGGACCTCGAGTGTCTGAGCTGGAGCCATCACTGCGGGAGGTCTACATGGCGATCTGGGAGCTGGCGGAGCAGAGAAACCAGGGGCGCGACCAGCCGCCACGCCGCTGGCAGCTGCCTCTACAACACCGCGCTGAGCCACCCCAATGAAATGCTCCGTGGGTTTGCCACCATTGCGGTCAAGAGGGGCATGTGGCGAGGGGGTGCCACACGGAGTCGGAGACAGCCAACTTCACCTAGAACCCACTGGGGCCGAACACTGACAGGAACCAGGCGAGTGATGCCATCCCTCCCGGGCTCCACCATCCTAGTCGGGGGCCAGGGATCGCGACGAGACCGGGGATTGCGACAGGGCCAGGGACCGCGACGGAGCCGGCGACCATGATGGGGCTGGGGACCGTGACGGGGCCGGGGCCGGGAACCTTGACCGGGCCAGGGACCGTGACGGGGACGGGAATCGAGTCATGGGCGGACGTGACGTCGCGGACGGAAGTGGCGTCACGGTCGGGGGTGACGTCACGGCCGGAAGTGGCCTCGGGGCTGGAAGTGACGTCGCGGCCGGGGATGGCGTCACAGCCGGGGATGGCGTCACAGCTGGGGGTGGCGTCACGGCCTGGGGTGACGTCACGGCTGGGAGTGACGTCGCTATTTAACTGCAAAGCCGACGAGTTGCCAGCGGCAATGGCCCTAGGGCTGAGGCAGCACACGCAATCGCCGGTGCGCCATGGAGCAGTCTTGCACACCGCCTCACCCTCGCAATGCGGCGGAGCAAGACAGGACCGGAAGGGCCACATCATAAAGGGGGCCCATGCCCCGGCGAACAAAGGAAGGGGAGGGGGGAGGGGAAGGGCTCACGGGAAGTCCCACCCCCCAATCGCCACTCCCCACTACAATGGGGGGGCCGTCCCACACCACAAGGGGGGCTCATCCCATGTCATAAAGGGGGGTCACTTCGCACCATATGGGGAGCCCAGCCCGCACCCCAGTGGGGAGCCCACCCCAGGTAACAAGGGCGCATTCACCCTGCTGCGACACACCCCAAAGGAGGGAACCCCATCTTCGGCCCGTTCACATCCATCCCCCGTCACCTCGCCATACACCACAGAATAGTGAGCCGCCGCCTGGTCAGTGGCAGGACTCAGCCACACAATGGAGGAAGCTGGCAAGGCGGGTGGTAGCGGCCGCGTCGGGAACCTCGGTCCTGGTCGGTGCAGTCGCGGGAGTGTCGGCACACATCTCGGTTGACATGGGGGCATATGCCACGATCATCTCGAGGACCATGCACGAGATGCTGCCGGATAGAAAACGGCCTTTAGTTCCCATCAAGTCGCAGCAAATGGAGGGAGTATGGGCTTCCTGGGCCAGATTGAAGCCCTGATACAGATTTCGGTAGCAGGACCCATACTCGTCTCCGCAATGCTGCCCGTGCCCTGCCTGTTGGGGACGGACTTTCTGAGGCAAATGCCTATGAAAATTGATCTGGCCAATGGGCGGGTGGAAGTCCAGGGAACACATCTGCATTTCCTAAAGGCAGAGGGGGCTGGCCGGGGTGTACCCCACGTGTAGGCTCTGGTCAGTGAGTCTGTCTCCATTCCCCCAGCAGCCCCGATGCTGATACCGCTGCGATATCGGTCCACCCTCGTGACAACCCGGCCAGACTCACCCATCCTGGTGTCTCCGGCGTCAGCGGCCACGGACCGCCATGCACTGGTGGGGGACGAAATTATTGTCCAGGGGAACCAGCATCTGTTCATTCAAGTGCTGAACACCTCGAACAGAGCAGCGACGGTGCAGGCAGAAACGGTTCTGGCCCACGTCAGTCCCTTGTCACTAGGAGCCCCCGGGATGGGGCCAGAGTTGGTTGGAAGCATCAGCCAGTCCGAGGACAGAGGGAATGACTCGTGGATGGACCAGCTGGCGGGGCCTGAGCCGGATTTGCGCCCGACCAGAAGTACCAGCTGCATTCATTACTGCAGGAGTTCTCTGACATGTTCAGCCCTGGGGGCACCGGTGGTCATAGTCAAGAAGCCAGACGGGTCACTGAGATTCTGCGTGGACTTCCGCCGCCTCAATGCCGTCACGCTTGCCGACGCATATCCCCTACCACGTATTAACATCTCACTTTATGCACTGGTAGGAGCAAAATTTTTCAGTACACTCGATTTATTATTCGGTTTCTAGCAGGTCCCACTGGACTCGAACTCTCGGCCTAAAACAGCATTCCAGACACCGCAGGGCCTATTCGAGTTAAAATACCTGCCTATGGGCCTCCAGACTGCACCGACGACGTTCCAATGCTTAATGGAGTTGGCCTTAGCAGGCCTCCAATGGGATACGTCCCTAATTTACCTGGGCGACGTCATTGTCTTCAGCCGATTATTTGATGAACACATTGGCCGATTGCGTCAGATATTCATGTGGATCCGGAATGTGAACTTGAAGCTCAAGCCGTTGAAGTGCCACCTTATGCGGTCGTCGGAACACTACTTGGGCCACGTCGTCAGTGAGTCTGGAGTGGCTACAGACCCGGAAAAGATGGCCAGATGCTGGTTTCAGAGGTACGCAGGTTTGTGGGCTTCGTGTCCGTGGTTCGTACCCAACTTCGCAACCATTGCGAAGCCCTTGCACGTGTTGATGGCGAAGAACCAGAGGTTTTATTGGGGACCTCTGGAGGAGGAGGCATTCCAGCAGCTGCGCTCGCGTCTGACAGATACACCACCATTGGCCTTTTCGGATTTTGGCCTCCTCTTTATTCTAGACACGGACGCCAGCGATGTGGGCATAGGCAGCGTTTTGTCACAAATCCAGCAGGGTTGGGAGGTGGTCATCGCCTACGGCAGTCGCATGCTGTCATCAGCGCAGCAGCACTACTGCGTCAAACATAGGGAGCTCTTGGCGGTGGTCCACTTCGTGCAGCAATTTCGACCCTACCTGTATGGTCGCAAATTTACAGCCCGCACTGACCACGCGGCCTTGCAGTATTCGCTCCTCATCGACCAGCCTTCGGGCCAGCTGGCCAGGTGGATAGAGCGCCTGCAAGAGTACACGTACCAAGTGGTGCATCGCAAGGGGACAAGACATGCCAATGCGGACGCATTGTTCCGGCTGGCGCCCCAGGGCCCTTGTGCATGCACCACAGGCCTTTACACTTTAATGGACTTATCACAGAGTCATATTTGTTTATGGAACTTTAATTATCCTGCAATGGAATACATTTTTACACATTTTCTATTGCAATAATATACTGTAAAGTGAAATATTAATACAAAGGACTTTTTGATTTAAAGCTTTCGTGACTGCAGGGATTCATATTCTTGGTTCTTTCGGTAAAGTCACGTAGAAGGGAAACAATAAAATGATGTTTATATTTTTATTATTATATTGTTTCCCTTCTACGTGACTTTACTGAAAGAACCAAGAATACAAGGGACTTTGTTAATATGTATGGGAGACTCTTAAAAGTGCTTATTTTTTATTCCAGTGGGTCTTATTAGTATACATTTTGAACATTCCGTGTTTTCTTATTGCAATTCAATAAATTAAATCTATATATAAATACATATTTCTACTTAAGTAATTTTAAACATGTCATGTGCAAAGTATGAACGCAAGAAAATAATTTCAGGGGGAACACAATGGGAAAAAGTTGAGTAGGCAATATCTATGTCCATGACTGAAGGCAGACTGAGATCAAAATAATGTAATAAAGAGTTTGGAAATTAGATGTAATAATTAAAATCATCAGACAAATGCGTGCAAATATGAAAGCTTTAAATCGGTGCATAACACCTATTAGATACAAATCATAAACATGGACACTGACAAAATGGTTGAACAAAAACTGACAATGATGCAAATAAGCATGGTGAGAATTGAAAACGTCAAATTGAACATTCAGAAAATGAACTGAGCTTTGGCAACGTATATCACTCGCGAGGGTGATGGCTGTTAAATAAGATTGGTGACAGCCGAAGGAGGAAACATGCCTGTAAGTGAGATGGATTATGGCATCGCAAGATGGAAACAACATTGGAAGATCTTCATCCAGCAGTGGATATGTCATGGCTGATGATAGTGACATTTAATTACATTATACATTTATTTCTTAAACATTAGTATGTACATTGAACTTTTGCACAATATCTAGCCAACCGTGATAATTGGAGGTGTGAGGAAAGGATAACAAACTAAACATAAAACGCAGTTCAAAAGAAATTAGCTGTAAATAATTAGCTTTATTTAAACAATCAGATTGTTTATATGTTGTGTAGCCAAATCCTTATTCATCAGCCATTGGTGACTGGGTTCCATCAGAAAAAAAAAAATCTTCTGCAAGACTGGATGAAATAGCATTCAGTTGCCTGGAGTTTCCTGCCAAGTTGTCAGTGGTGCAATCTAATTTTTCGAAGACGGGCATTCCAACAGTTACTTATTTACCTGTAAAATCCACACTGACATTTTCAGTAGGTTCATGCATTTGGGATGTTTGGCCATCACCATTTCCATTGTATGCTTTTCGCTATGCGAGTACACTGGATAACCCGGGGGGGAACAGATGCAGAACAGGCGAAGAACATATCAAACGCCATCGACGAAGATGCCAAATCCCGAATCAAACCGAGGGTCCTTGCTGCGAGGCAAAAACAAAGTTGGCCACCGTGCCACTGCAATAACCTCCATAATCAGAGGTGCAAGGGAAGGACAACAAACCAGACCCGCTTTTTGTGTTTAGTTCGTCGTCCTTCTCCTTGTACCTCCAATTAGCATGGTTGACTACGCACAATGTGAAAGAACCAAACCAAACAATGTGAAAGAACCAAACCAAACGACATGTCTCGGACCGCATCCGTGAACACAAAGCAGACCTAATACACGGTAGGACCAACACCTTGGCCGTGGCAGATCACTGTTATAATTCAGTAGGCTCACATGACATTGACTTCTTCAAGACAGAGGTTCTCTGCAAGTCATCTGGCTATCATGAGAGATTCGTTCATGAGGTTATCCACATATACAAACACAGAGACAATTTCAACCGAGAAGATGGATTATGGCTTAGCAATCATTGGAAGGATTTGATAAACCATTTCGGTTCTTAATTGATTGTTCACGCTTACGGTGGCTTTCAGACCGCATTCATTATTTTCGTCTCCCCCCTCCTCTTTTCCGAACATAGATGGACTCGTCCATCTGAATAACTGCCAAATCGCTCTCCGTGGTGCTAACGTTAAAAAAACGCCACTTTTTTCAAATTTTCTTGCTGTGGTTTTCACACCTGGTGATGATTGCTTGTGTTGCAGTCGAAAGAAGTTAAACATGCATATGTAGCCATCTAAAACACTTCATGCTTTGTGATATACTTGTACAATATTAAACCTTCACTTGTATTATGTCGACAGGGACTGAAAATAACTTTCAGACGGCGTCTCTACAAATGGAGAACATTCCCATTCCATGGGAAACAGGACGCACCAAGATGCAGCCCACGCTTCACCATAGCCTCAAGAGGACTGAAACTGAGGCGGCATTTAAATACGACTCCCAGCTGCCTTATCTTGTGTTTGTGAACTCTAAATCTAAAAACAAGTGGGGTCATCCACGGGGGTATCGGATACAGCTCACAAGCCATGGCAAGCCACTTCTGCCTGAGGATTACGAAGAAGAGAAAGCTGTTGCATGGAGCAGGTGAGTCGAGTATTATTCGTAATAAGCCATACAGTATTACTTATACCAGAGGAATAGATTACCTTTGCTAAAACACATTTATAACCATCTACAGCCCTTTGTCCGTCCACTGCTGGATGAAGGTCTCCCCACACTCGGTGGTCATATGGGGGTTAGTTCACCATTCGCCACCCACACTACTCAGTGTGGGTTGGTGACACATGACGACCCAGGACCTCATGTTCTGCTGTCACTTGCCACTGAATTTAGCCATGGGTGTTACCCACTGTGCCACCGTACCAATGCCTTATCTTACCGACAAAGTTGTCCATTATTGGAACTGGAACCAGTCTTTCCAAAGGAAGACCACAGTTAATTTCCCACAAAATGGCACTCATTGTATTGATTCTCAGGAAGATTTAACATATTTTCTTTTGTCTTGTAGTACATTTTATGCTTCTCAGATATATTTTCTTCCTCAAATAGATACCAGATGGCAGTGACAAAATACAAGGAGACGGAGCGGTACAGCACCAGCATTTACAACCAGAATGACCCCTGGGACCCAGCAGTTTACTTCCCGGACTTCGTAAATGATGACGACAATATCGTGAATGAGGTGACTTCCCAATCGCAGCTAATATATGAAATGGTTGTGACCTGAATCGTGATGGCCTTTGACCAAGTCAAAGGTCTTTTAAGCTAAGGCAGGTTTGGGGCTGAATAGTACTTGGAGATGGCTGACGACTAGCATGTGCTTGGCTGGTGGGGTTACAATGTGGGCAGTAGAAGGCAGTACAGCAATATGCGTTGTTGTGCTGTCCTTCAATGCTTCTACATCTCTCCTCGGCGCCTTCACCATCCACACCGAGCCGTGTGGTGAATTGTGCTCTAATTAACCCCCACGAACCGGATGTGGGGAGGCCCTCGTCCGACAGAGAATGGACAAGGGCCGTACGTGTCATCAAAATGCTTGCTTAAGTAGAGTAAGCAACTCCTAACATCACCATGCATGGGAAGTCCACTTCAACTTTTATTAAGGGATTATTTTAGTTTTTGTGTGTAATGTTTGTGCACACATGCCCTGTGCACTGTCGTGATCACTGTGTGTGTTCAAGTGTCAGTGGAAGAAAATTCTTGTATTTCATACACGTCTTTGATTTTCAATAACATAACCAGGGACACTGGTGATTATTAGAGTTACACCATTTGGTTCAATTGGAATTGGATCCATCTAATGTTTATAAAACGGAAAAATATTCAGTGAAATTCTTAACACATGAAAAATTGTCAATGACTATATTTTATATGTTAATAATATCCCTCAAAGGCCTTTTAGAATTATGATATAATCTCATAGGGGGTTAAATACCCATGGCAAATTTAAAAAGAGCATCAACAGGAAATCAAGTCTAATAAATAGTTTTTGGCTGTGAAAACAACATTCCTTTTGAGATTACAGTCATAAGAATAACTAATAATTTTAACTCACTTGTCAATGCATTGCTGGGTGAAGGGCCCGTCCATGACATGTCAGTACGGATTGATGAAGCTGGTGACCCAGAACCAGTTAAATCTCACTCAGAAATTATGTCGGCTGTGACATTTATTCAAATTAGGTAGCTGGGTCCAGAGTGCAGTAGGCCAACTACTGTGCCACCGCTTTACGCCTTGTAAAGAGTACATCTTACCTATAAAAGGCATTTTTTTGTCTATCTGTCTGTCCATGTGTCTGTGTGTGGACGAAACTTGTGAAGGATTTGGCTTGTGAACCGTGGGGTTTACTTTTCAAAAAAATACCCAGTACCACGCGATAAGGCCCGTGGTGAGCCAGCGCTATTCCGTAAACTTTAAAGTAGTTAAATTAACTATTTAGTGCTATTTATTAATATTTATTTCCTTGCGCTGCTCAGCGGGCGCCAAAGCACGCATTTGCGCATGCGCGACAAAGCTGACCAGGGATTGCCCCTAGCAATGCAGACGTCTTCGTTGGGAGGGGGGGGGGAATTATCTTTTGCGTTAAAAATGCAAATAAAAAACACACTACGCTGAGGTAATTTTTTAAAGGTATCATGTCCTCTTCTCCCCCCCCACCCCAATGTGTGCCCTTACTACTGTAGTGGATTCGAATTAGGTGCACACATAATTTCTTGGCAGGCAACACTTATTTATTAATGAACACAACAGTTAACTCTTACATTACGCATAGGGTGGTGACACCAACTTACTCTAGCTAACACACACTTCTCAGATACTCTAGGGAGGTACAGCCTCCTGTCTTGGCAGGACTTACACATCTACCACTATCCTAGAGTCCTCCGGCTGGGACCTACACAAGGATCTCTTCTTGGCGTCTTCACGATGCATCTTCATTCTTGATACGGGCAGCCTCGAACCTCGTGAGGAGGCTGCTTATATAGGCCTCGGCATGCCCGGGCCCCGCCCCGGCCACGTCTCCCTCTCAAAGCCCCCCTGCTGTCCACGTGCCCCCCCGAGGTGCCCCCTAGGCCCCCGGCCCCCACTGGGGTCTAGTCATGTGTCCAGCCGGGGTCACAGAGAGTGCCACGACCTCACACCACCCTCGTGACCTCCCGAGTCCAGAACCGGCCCTGACGTCATTCCCACCTCCAGCCGGGATGACGTCATGTGTGTGTGCAGACCCGCGTGGTCGTGACGCTCCCCCGCATAGTGACGTCACACGTGTGCGTGTGTACACAGTAGTGATGCTACCATCACTACATCACACTCCCCCATGTAAAAAGACAGCCGTCTTTGCTGTGACAATACAGAAAAAAAACACAGTGTGCCTCCAACAACAACGTTAATAAATAACCGGCGACCGATAATAATTACCACGAGAAACATATGTACACACACCGAGAGGGGGGAAGGGAAGAACGTATGGAATGAGGGGAACCAACAACAACCACATGTACACCAAAAGAACTGGTCAACCCCCTTATCCCTCAGCACAGCCCATCCGTGTGAATTTTTATGCACGCACCAACATATGAATGTGGCTGTTTGACAACGGTGTAGGCAATCAACAAGGTGTGAGGGTCATGGACAGCGGCCAGTCTTCAAACGAGTTCGCGTGGCCGAGCCCCCAGGGGAGGCGAGCACGCTCTCTCTGGAGGTCCTGGGGGAACTTGAAAAAGGCCCAAAAAGGGCACGGCCCCTCCCCAGGAGTTGGGCAACAGGATGAGCAGGAGTGACGTACGGGCGCTCCACTCCCCCCTTCAAGTCCACATCCGGTCAGCAGAACCGGCGACTCCAAGGGCGGCAGGTGCAGGAATCCTGTGACAAGAAGAAACCACCTCCTAACATTCCGGACATCTCCCTAGATCCCAGGTCGAGAAGTCGCACTTCAGGGTCGACCCATATACTGGCTCAAGGAAGTCACGCTTCAAGGTCGAGCCAGTATGCTGCACCCAAAGGTACAACGTTGGATGTTGTACAATATCCCGGGTCAAGGAGGTCATGCTTCCAGGTTGACCCATGTACTGGGTAAAGAAGTCGCACTTCAGGGTTGCCTCAGTATCTAAATTTTTCATTAAAAAAATGTTAAATCGACGTGGCACGAAAAAAAATGCCTGCTCTTGCCCAGAAATAGTTCACACAAATACCCGTGCACTACAAAATGGCGGCCGCATGCACGAACCGCATCCCCTGTGGTTTCCCGCGCTCACACAAAATGGCGGCTGCATGCTCGAACGGCAATTCCGCAATCCCCGTGCACCCGCATATCTCCGCGGTTCTCCCTGCACTTGCATCCCAGTGTACTCCTTTGGGAATCACAACAGACAATCCATATCCCATGTTTACACCCTCCGACGCCTCTGCGTGTCGCCGCAGTTTGTCGCACGTATCGGCTGTAGCGGGGGAAATTTAAACCAGTATCTCTTCAAGACTCGCGTTGCAGCAATCAGCTGTCCCAAAGGAGCTGAGAAGACACAAGAACACCTCTCTCCAGGACTCGCATTGCAGCAATCAGCTGTACCAACCGAGCCGAGAGGACACACCAACCCCTCTCTCCAAGCCTCGCATTGCAGCATTTAGCTGTACCAACCGAGCTGAGAGAGCAACTCACCACAAGCTCCCTGAGCCTCTGGCTCACTGTCTCAGACGCGCCTCGAAGTGTCTCGATCTCCGGGCCGCCAGGGCGAGCCTACAGCTCCAGATGCACCACTAAGGGTCTCAACCTCCGGGCCGTCAGGTCAAGCCATCAGCCATAGCATGACGGGACCACACTCTCTGAGCCATATGAGCGAACTGTCCACTAGGCTAGACATGCCACGGAGTGTCTCAATCTCCGGGCTGTCAGGTCAAGCCGTCAGCCATAGCATGACGGGACCACAACTCTCGTGTTAGACACGTAACACTCACTGGGCCATCCTGGTCAGGATCTGCACCCCAAGATTTTCGACAGCCAGCACCACAATTCCAAATCACTGGCAGCATGTCACCATCGCAATTTAAGTGCTCCATACCAATGACGGCAGAGCCAAAACCCAAGGCAGTCATCCCCCACACAATCGTAATTTAACACCATCACAACACATACAATTTGAATTAGGATCCCCCACTGAATTGATTCAATGTCGAACAGGTACGAACAATTTGTGACGATCCTGAATACCCAATGGTCACAACAATACAGCTTACATCCCGTATCTGTACAGAGAGACAGTCTATGCAGAACGTACAGTCCACACATCGCGATCTCGAGAAAAGCCCCATACAATCAACACATCGTTAACAAATGTGGCACATCGCAATCACAACAACAACAAAAATAAACCGATGTCACACTGCGACCCAATAACACGGCAACCCACGGGACATTAAAGGGCCTCGGGACACTCGACACAACCCAATTAATCATTAACAGCCCCATCAAGATAACGATCTCGACGCCATAATTAACAACACTGTTACAAAGCAGACACTCACACGGGCGCCGCGTCAATCTGCCACGCACACAACCGAACTAACACGCTCCGCAACCCAGCGAGTAAAAGTAAAAAAAAAAGCAATCGCATCCCGGCACACGCAAGATGGGTGAGGTGTGTTTTTAGGGCCGGGTGCATTGTGTCACGACTCGCCTTAGAGGCTGTGAGGAACGGAAAATGGCAGGGTGGAACTTGAAGAATCTTGGATGGTGAGCACGGCATCCTCTTGCGACAGGATGCCACCAAGATGGCTGAAGATCTCCCTCCAAAGGTGTTGAAAATGGCAGGAACGGCGTTTTGGCAGGAACCGCGTCCCGACCGGTCCGCCAAGATGGCGGCCGCGCGTGCACTATGCGCGTGCAAATTTCCCGCCCAGGCACCCGCAGCAGCGGCGGCGTCCTCTCTCCTCCAGCTCCGGCGCTCTCTCTCTCAATGGCGGCGAAGCAGCGACGTGATGTGCATCCTGCTGCCCCGCCTGCAGCGCCATCTCCCTCCTTCACCGAGGCTGCAGAACCCCGGGGCTGCCCCGAAAATGATCTTCCCACCTCCTTGTCATGTGAAAGCGACCAGGTAAGTTGTAGTAATCGTGCACATAATATATTGACTAGGATAACACCTAACGTTAGCCACTTCTGACACCAAATGTAGTGGATTCGAATTAGGTGCA